AGAGAGCAAGAAAGCCCCCCTTGAGGGGGGTTGGGGGGTGAACCCTAAACCCTAATTGAGAATAGTTGGGGTGGTTGGGGCGGGACTACATGCTGACGCAAGCGCGCGATTAGTGGGTGCGCCCCTATTCCTAAAGTAAAAGGCGCACCCACCGCGCGCACACTGTTTACAACCCTAAAACCCTAAACCCTAAACCCTAAACCTTTTTCTTTTTGGGGTGCCTTTTGTGTGTCAGGCGCCTGCCGAAGCCGAAGTCCTGGGGAGCTCTGGAGCGGAGTCCGCGCCCCAAGGGGGCCTCCTCTTCTCTCTCACTCAAAGCGGGGTTTTTGGGCTCCGGGGTTTAGGGCCTTTAGGGCCTTTAGGGTTTTGGGTTTAGGGGGTTTAGGGGTTTAGGGGTTTAGGGTTTTGGGGGTTTAGGGCCTTTAGGGTTTTGGGTTTTGGGGGGGAGTTTGTGCAACCTGAACAACTGGCTTCCAAAGCCCTGCCGCCGCCGCCGACTGGCTCACATGATCGCCGGCTTCAATGTGAAGGACATGAGCTGTCTGGCCCCCCGAAATGACATGATGGTCTCTAGCTTCTACTATTGCCCGGCAGCTTACGCATTTGTTCGGGTTGATAAACCGGCCACAAACAGTTGTAAGATCTCGCAACATGCTGAGACGGCTCTCACAGAAGCCGACTGTTCCAGCCCACGACTCCCCTTTATTCAGGGCAACATTGCGTTCAAAGGGCCTGCTTCCATGGCTTCAACTCAACGCATGCAGCAAAGGCAGCGCATGTGCTCCGTGTCGCAGGTTGCCGGCTGTGTCGGGCAATGTCTGTTGCACACCGCTTTCCTGTTTACATTGGTCCGACAGAGCATTGTAGGCAAGGCGTAGTGGCATAAGCAGCACGTGTCTTTGAGAAACTGCTCTCGAATCTGCAGATGACAAACGTCCCGCTTGGTCCTGGAGGCACCCGATTTGCTGTGGCCGCAGCTATTTTTGTGCATCTGCTAGGCTTGGAAGTCTTTCCCTGTTAACTTAAGCTCTTCCAGGCGTCTCATGCGACTTGAGACGGGAAGGATTGATGAGATACCTTTCAACACCCGATTGGACCGAACTCTGTTGCACAAGAGGCTGGCACTACGACTTGGGCCACCGCATTTGCATCACGGGGCTGGGGGCGAAGGCGACCAAGACCCGCCTCCAGGTGCCTCCGCAGACCCTGCAAATTGAATGTCGATGGGTTTAGGGGCGGAGTCTTTTTTGGAGCAGCTTTTGCTACTTCGCCGATGCTTCACTTCCATGAGCTTCTTCGACCTCTTACCAGGATCTTGTTTGGAGGAGAGCTGGCCCTTGGCATCTTAAAGTCTTAAGCTTCGGTGGTGATCCGAAGTGGCAAGGCGGCTTTTGGGGACTACGGCCACATCATCAAGATCGAGACGCCCCTCAATGGGACGGCAGTGCGCGGACCAAGTCATGGTAAATTCCCATCTCTCTGAAACTTCTTGAGGCTTAGGGGTTAAGTCTTGATTTCGTGACACCTGGGTGGCTGGCTCAGGTGTACATCTCCTATAAGGACAAGCGCGATGCGGAGGACCGTGAAGTGGTGGGTTTACAACTTTCACACTCTGGCTCTTGAAAACAAAATCGCCTGGCTGTGCCAGGATGCAGTGAAGTATATGGATGGGGAGAAGCTCGACGGAACGAAGATCACGGTGTCACGGGCTGACAACCGGCCACCAATCAGGAACCTCGCCGCTTCGCAGTGTGCGTAGAGATCCTTGGATGCTGGGCTTCTTACGGCAGGTATCTAGCTACGTGTTCTGCGAGAGGAGGTGCACTGTACCGCTTTTGGCAGGGGAAAGAAGGATGAGGCTGCGGCCCCAAAGAAGGCCCAGGGTTCCTTCGCATCTGCATGGGATGTGTTGTGCCGACAGCTTGGTGCTGCGTGCACGTGAGTCACAGATGATGTGACTCGCACATGTCTTCACTTCCTGGATGAATGTGCGCACTTTCCTTGAGCCAGGATGAAAAACGAGAGGAGGAAAAAGAAAGAAAGCGGCCGGGAGCCTACAGATTCAACCTCCATGGAGTATCGCCTGGAGCAAGAAGCTGCACCTCAGGCACGAGCTTGTGATCTGTCAAGTTGAGGCCAGACACAAAGCCCGCGCCCCGAGAACGAAGCAGAGGCCCTTTCCGAGGGCCGGGGGACTGTGCTGCCGTCTCGCTGCTGAGCCATTCCATTTTCTTCGCACTTGAGAAGTCCACAGAGTCCGCAACCCTGGAGGCCGTCTGCACCGTTTCTACACCCCCCCGACCCTGGACCTGCATGGCCCGGCAGAGCTTCTGAGCTCACAGGCCGCGACCGAGACCGCGACCGAGACCGCGACCGCGGAAGGCGGAGCCGCCGGGCGAAGCCGGATGCCGAGCTTTGCGCAGGCTTCCTTTTTCTCCCTTTCGTCATCGGAGGCTGTTTTCTGTCCTTTTGGGTGTTTTCGGTCAACCAGTGATTGGAACATGAGCACTCGGCGCACAAAGCTCGTTTGTGTGAAGAAGGTGGATCGAAGATGACTCGTGAGCCGGTGAGCAAAAACCACTGCGCCCTCGGGGATTCATCGCCAAAGTTCTCGCATAGTTTTGTCGTCTTCGGGTCTTGGCCACACTCGGGTTTAGAAGTCGATGTGCGCACTGTCTCTGCCACAGTTTCTGACGCAAGCCCGTTTTTGGTCAGCAGCTGCTTCCTCAAGAACCACCCTTCATTTCTGAGGTCCAAGAGCAGCAGCCGCAGTCGTAGCCGGAGCCGACGCAGGTGAAAGCCCAAACCTCAGCACAGTGCCGTTTGGAGCATGGCATTCTGGTCGAAGGGGGACGTGGGAATAGTTAACGAGCTCCTAGAGCCGGGCAGTTCAAGCACCCCGAAGACCCTGAGCCCAGCACCCCGCTCTTGAGGCCAGCAGAGCGCGATCTCCCTGAGCTTAGCTTGGGAGTCTGGGACCAGGACTCCTTTGGCCCGTAGCTGCCGTAGCTGCAGTCTCGTAGTTCGTGCAAGGCTTTGAAAGCCGCTTCCTATGGCGAAAGACTTACTCACGGGGTTAGAAGTCTATTCTTCTCCTGGCGACATCTCAACGCCTATGTTCATGGGTTGACGATGTATTGAAGCCCGGCTATCGTCGGTGGGACGCCAAGAAGGTTGGGCTGCCCGCATGTTCGCACAGACTCGCTGCCAATGACGTGCTGCGAGAAAGGGCAGGGCTGCAACGTTTGCAGGGCATGGAAGTTAGTCGTTGGTGCATTCGGGACAGGCCGCAGGACAGAGGAAGGCTCAGGTTAAGGCAGCAATCATTGCGGTCTTTGCAAGATTGGCAAGCCTGCGCTCAAACGCTCTCGTAACCTTGATTGCATCTTTCCGCGTGACAACCCCGATGAGGCCCTGGGATGCTTCGCACCCGCTGAGCCGCAAGCACAGCGGGTAGCTGCTCAGAATCGTAAAACTTGGGATGCGGTTGTATGACCACCTTCATCACTAGGTACAAGTGCGCTTGGCCAACATTATCACTGTCACATCTACTGCCTTAGTGTCGTGACACCTCGCATTCGCCGCCATACACAGCGTGCTGGTCTCACCCCCTCCCTTTGACGATGCATGGATGAATGAAAACAGCTTGACCACATCAGCTTCCACCTTCCCTGCACTGTCCGAGTCCCCGGCAGTTCTGAAAAGTCGGATGCCATTGTTCCTACATGATGTAATCTGGTATTATATTATACAATATCATATTGTATTATTAAAGCAAATTTTAGTATATTATAATATTTTATGGTATATTGTCGTATAGATTATAGTATACTATCGTATATTATAGTATATGTTACAGTATATTGCAGTATATAATAGTATATTATGGTATATAATCTCGTTTGTCGTTTTGTAGGCCTCCAGAGCTCCAGACCCACGCAGGCGGCGGGTTTTCGCGAAATGCCCTACTGCTATGCATCGATGGACAGGACAATCCGCCCACTTTTGGGTTTTAGGGTTTTAGGGATGCCTTCGAAGGCCGATTCTTCGAGGAAGTTTAAAGTTTAAAGGTGCAGAGTTTACTTCGATTCCATCCTGCTCTGTGCAGATCAGGAATGCAATAATTTCATGTTGCTTTGCCACTATGAATAACGGTTTAACGGCGGCAAGCATTGCGTCACGATCTCGCCTGTTCCTCGCAAGAAATCTGTGACGATGGGACTCAATCATTTCGGCATCCTGTGGGTTTCCTGCTGCGCTGCCGCTGTTCCAGGAAGCCCTTGATGCCCTATACTCCGAATGCCTTTCGCTCTCGCCTGGCTGCCGGCACCTCAGAGCCGAGAGCAACGGTTTCCACCACTTTTTGTGGGGGTCGCGAGGTCGATGATGCCCCGGTGCCCTACAAGAACGCGTCCACCATCGAGTTCAATGATGGCATCCACACCTGCCACAAGAGAAGGCTTCGCTTCCACAAGCACTATCACCAAAATCATCCACAGATCAACTCGAAGCTTCCAGCCGAGCATTGAGGTGCTTCGGAGAGCAGTAGCCTGCGAACAGATGCGCGACTTGTGCAGTGCAGACATGGAGCTGGGAAGCTGTCAACTGAAATCAGAGTGTCAGCGAAGACTTTGATCGCGGCTCGGGCCTTCGGGCTTACGTGGATCTGGGTTCTCGTTAGGGGGTTTAATTTAAAGTTACCCCAAAGAAAACGCATTATTTACAAAAGATCCCCACTACGGCAACTGAAATAGAATAGAATCCCTTAACAAGAACCCAGTGAAGCTTTGGAGGGAATGAAAGGGCTGCCTTTTTTCATCCAGTGGCTGCGCAGGTTCCAGACCACCAACGCAACGGTGTACACGGGCGAGCCTTGCGATCCTAGGACGGTTTAGGGTTTATAGGGTTTATAGGGCTTTAGGGCTTTAGGGTTTAGGGTTTAGGCTTCAGGGTTTAGGGTTTTCGGGTTTTTGGCGTATGCGATGTGAACAGCAGATCTCGCGGTTGGCTCGTTCCACTGAGACTGGCTGCTTCCAGGAGCAACCAGGGTGTGATTGCGGCTCAAACACGGTTCCGCAAGTTCATGCAGGCTTGGACGGGCAGTCACTCGAAGTTGCATGCTGTGAGCTACCAGAGTGTACCCGACACTGCTTAGCCTTCCTCTGATGCCAGGCGAAGTGACACTCCAACCATTGGAGGACGCACCCTACTCTTTGCTGTGGGTGGTTCTGTAGGGTAGGCCGTTCGCAAGCGCCTGCCCGTCTCACTCCCTGCCTTTCACACTGTCCAGGTCGTTCTGGTGTTTTTTTTCGTGCATCTCGTCGACTGTCATTGCTCCTGTTTGACTCTATGTGACGCTGTCTTCAACGCTTGCACTCGCAGACTTGGAGAGGCTTGCTCAGCAGCGTGCGCTTGATTGGGGTTGAGGATGCACTTTCGCTTTCGTGTTTGCGCATCTCTTGCCAGGATTGTGCAACTCATGAAGTTTCGCCGGTGAACTGGCGCTGCTCGCTGATAGTTGAGCTGGCAGCCTGCAATCTGTCAGATAGGAGACAGAGGTTGCATTGCGACTCTCAGCATGGCTGATTGCGGTTCACCCTGCAAGTTATTGATGTTGTAACTCTATTGATGCTTCAGTGTGGTTACATCCCGGCAAGGTTTCAGTATGTCGGTTCCGGGGCTCAGCCGTCCTTCTGTTGTTGTTTGGGCTTCCTTGGTTCCCGACAAATCTGCGACACGTGTCTCTTGCCTGTGCGTGACCAACGCAGCACACCCTTGTCGTCGCCGCCACAGGATTAGCCGATGGATCATGATGTAGGCAATTTGTGATTCACGCTTCAGGCAATTCAACAAGCTCGGCCTCTTGGTACAGCGAAACTTGCTGTGCTTTAATTGGCCAAGGCCTTTCATAGCAAAGATGATTTGAGTGCTGAGAAGCTCCCAGCTCAGGGTGCCGGTGCCTGCGTTTCAGACAAACGCCTGAACTGTGCTGGCCAGAAGCAGACCTATTCTTTCCTTGCATGGCTTCCCCCACCTGCACCTTGGGCTTTTAGCTCGTACCTCGTCGAAAATGCGCCAAACACTGGTGCTATGGCGAGATCTAAGTGGCAAGAGAGACAAAATGCGACTCAGTTGTCAATCAGGCAGCAGACATGTTGACACGTGTGACACGTGCATGGTTGAGATGGCCAAAGCAATCTTCGAAGGAACCACGCAAATGCTGAGAATTTCAAGCTGCACGAGCCACGCTCAAGTAGCAGCGACGCCAATCGCTTCATGACAAGAGGACAACGCCAGCAAGCAGTAAGCTATCTCTAATTGCCCAACTCCATGGTATCCCACTCCATGTCTCAAGCCTACTTCATTCATCCCTAAACCCTAAACCCATTCATCCAAATGGGCCTCCCACCTCCCGGCCCCGAGCTGCATGCGGGCCTCTTCCGCGACCGGACGATCCGAGAGGCCCATGTGGCAGCTGAAGGGTTTGCTTTGGGGGTTTAGGGTTTAGGTTTTAGGGGCTGGGATGTCCATGGGCCTCCACTGGTTTACATAGACACTTTTTCAGAAGCAGTGCATGAGGAGCGTCCTGGGTTCCATGGACGTCGTTCGGATTTCCATCTCGGCCAGGTGGAGATCGCTTTGGAGCAGCTGCACACCTTCGAAGAGGACTACTCGTCGGAAGATGGTCGCAAATGCGCTTTGGAGGCGGGTGGATTGTCGTGTCTTCGCAACTGATCGGAGAGTCGTCCATTTTGTCGGTACTCCCAGGGATACCTTGCCACAGCGTGAATGCTGCTTGCGGGCATCCCTTGCTCATGAGTAAACTCTTGTTATTCTTGTTCCTAGCCTATTCATTAATCACTATTGTCATCGTTACTGCGAAAACTGCGAATATTGTTTTAGTTATCGTGTTATGATTTTAGTATTCGTACGGTTCTGCTTGCTGTTGTCATTACTACTCGTGCATTTATGTCATCATCATTGTCGTTATCATCGTCGTCGTGGTGGTGGTGGAGGTGGTGGTGGTTGTTGCTCTTGTTCTCATTGTTGGTGGTGCTACCCTTCTGATTATGACTATGACTATCAACAGTCTATGCTTTCCTATGGTTGATGATATAAATCCTGCATTACCTTAAGGACCCTAAACTATGGGAATTATGGTATATATTCCGTATTTATGGGCAATGCAGGATTTCTATCATCAACCGTAGGGCCCCCCTTTTTTTAAGGATCCCACGATGAAAGGGATCCTTACTGAAGGTGCTCGAGAAGATGGCCGACTACGTGGTGGACCGGGTCGTCCTCGAAAGGACGGAGGTCGGGAAGGCCGTTCGAAAGCTGGCGACCCTGGTCTGCATGGCTATTACACACCATACACTCTCTCTCTCTCTCTCTCTCTCTCTCTCTCTCTCTATATATATATATATATGTATATATATGTACATATTTGTTTATTTATTGCATGGGTATTATTATTATACACCATATACTATAAGTGTGTTTGTGCGTGTGTGTGTGTGTGTGTCTGCGCGTGGGGGTGTGACGAAACTGTTGGCAGCCAGTGGCCTCGGCCTGCATCTTCAGCCTCAGAGGCGCTTCCTGGGTTCGTTTGCACTGCTGGTGCACAGACTTTGTTCTATATAAATAATATTATGTATATATACAGTATTATATATATATAATACTATTTGTGAGCTGCCGTTGCTCGTCTCTGTGGAAAAAAGAGCTGCAAAGGAAAGTGCGGGATCGAGAGATCGCTGCCCGAGCACAGCAGCTGGTAAGGGAATGGAAGGAGCTGGGCTGTGCCAGTGTGGGGTCTCTTGTGGGCCCTCTCTTATGCGAGCTCTTCTTGCCGCAGATAGATTGACGTTTTGTGTAATGGAAGATTCGTGAGGTGTTGATGAGCACGAGGTGCTCGGCAGTCTTGGCAGGAGAACCTCGAATTTCGCGATGTGGCCACGCCCTCGACTGGCATTTTGCGGTGCGCCTTTGGTTGGTTCATTGTCGTTGAATGGAGCTAGGACCGGAGTCGTCCGGGGTCTCGACTGGTCCCCAAGCGCTGTCGGACACAGGCCGTCAAAGGCTTCGGAGAGAAAGGAGGCCTTCAAAAGACGCTGGGCACAAAGAGACGACTCACAGATGCACGCCGGCCGAACCTCGGGACTCTGTACTGCCACAGCTTAGTAATACAGAGGAGAAGAAGATATTATCGAAATATAAGGTCTTCATATATATCTAGACATAGCCCTATTATGGACTGTTACTGCATGCGGGCAGTACCCAATGTGTTCCCCGTTCATCTGAGGAGGTTGTGCAAGGAGCTGGAAGAGGCAGGCCCGCTCAAGAGCGCAGAGAGGTTCGAACATCTGTTGCACCATGTATATTGGACAGACAAGGTAGTTGCAGGACGCATTCTGACGGTCTGTCTCTCGATTTTTCTCTGCAAAGTCCCATGAGATGTAGTTTGGAAGACGTCCTCTGCACAGCAGAACAGAGCTCTTTGGGCAGGGGCTCTTCAATCACTGTTGCCCTCTGGGCCTCCTCGTGGGGGAGGAGAAGAAGAGCTATCTGAGACACTACAAGAGGTGCGAGTCTGGGTCGGGATTCGTCAAGACTGAGGTCAAGAGGGCCGTGGTAGTCTTAGCGATCTTGGCCTTGGGGGAGGGACGTGTAGTCGGGCATCTGCACTCGGACGCCAGACTGCACGCTGATGCCTCTCCATCACCCGAGTCCGGCAGTGCACTGAAGCCGCAGGCTCTGCACTCACCTGCGAGCGCGCGGCTCCGACAGCTTGGTTGAGAAGCTGGCAAAGAACCAGTTCTCTGCACTTCAGGTCGGCCAGGGGCCAGTGAGAACAACTAAAGTATCGCACGTGGCTTCAGACTAGATGCGCCAGTTCTACCGTTGAGGATTGGGGTTGTGCGCACCTGGCAAGGTGGCCGCCCTCCCGGACTCGACTCTTCAAACGGTCACCGCGCCATCTTACGTAGCGTGTGGAGAGTTCACATGTTCCTGATGTGCCGGGGTGCCACCAATGATGGTGTGCCAGTGGCTATGACGGCTATGACTCTAAGCTCGAACGTTTCCGAGAAGGGCCCCTGGCCTGCAGTGCTCGCCGAAGTCTACCTGAACCCGAAATCCCGAGGTATCGATGACGCAAAGAGGCCCTGTAGCACTTGACTAATCAACATCAACCAGAAAGAAAACCTACGTGTCAGTCCAGTTTGATTTAATTGCACCCAAGGGGCAGAGAAAGGCCAAACGTTCTACCGTTTAAGCTCCAGCTTTGTAAACCCTATGGTACCCTGCGGCTGCATTACCCTCATCAGCCGCAGACAGCCTCTTGCCAGGCAGAGAAGCGTGAAGCGCAGCAGAAAGCCGAGGAGATTGCCCTCAAGGAGGGGCTGATCTTGTGGGCTTTCTTGTGCCATGACCATGTGGGAGCTCGGGCTACAGCGGTGATGCTTTTCGGGCTTCGAGCAGACTCTGGGAGGAGGCAGTCCTGACGCCCGAGGAGCCACCACTGGCAGCAATTACGGAGGCAGCGTGTGCTGCGGCTCACTGTGCTAGGCTTGTGAGGCAACCGACAGTGGAGACGAAGGGTGGTGGCGTCTGGCTGAAAGCAACTATTGCTTTGATGCATCTTCCATCTCGTTGCTCTTCAGTTGGTCTTCAATTTGTTTAATTTTTCTCACTGACTTCGACAGCCCCAGGATGGAATAGATGTTACTTCAGCTGTCTCCATGTGGGTTCCGCGATCGAACTACACCCTGAATCTTGAAGTCGGAAACTGGCGCGCAGGACTACACCTGCCCTCGCTGTAGTTCACATCGCTGCTGCCGCAACGAGGCTCACTGAGAAGAGTCCCAGCAAGCCCCTGCCATCCGTCTCAGTTCGCTTCCGCTCTCATCGTGAATTTCTGTTTTCTAATTGGACTGGTTGGAGAGACCGCTCGTATTTGTGAGATCAGGTTCAGACAGGATGGCACAATGACCATCAAGACCCGCCCCTTGCCTGTCATCGCATTTTTTGCACTGCCAGGCATGTGAGGGTGTGAGTGGGGATGAGCCCTTGTTTTCGAAGCTGTTTATGCCGAATTGTGTGAACGCTGCCTATAAGGCCAGGGCAAAGCATAGCAGGCTTGTATAGTATAAGTTGTAGATACATGAAAGCATTGCATGGAGCACAGGCCTACCATCCAACGTATGGCAAGGGCTACATGAGACTGCCTTGTACTGCCGTTCTTCCCTGAAATCTCTGCTTCCGTGCTCAGGACAATCATCGTGACGTGCCTGAATTGCACCTCGACTTTAACAACTTTGGCTGGACTGCTGGACCTGTACAGCTGCCTTTGCAGTGCATCCATCTCCTCGACTCGTTTTTCTTTGTCGGTGGCTGTCGGAGAGTTGGCATCTTGTGCTTGGCTTGTGAGCCTCAGCTGTGGAGACAAAGACGAACCAAGGCGGGCACAGGTGGAAGGAGTCGGATGACCACGGGCTCGCGAGCTGACAAAAAAGCCGCTCTTTGTCTTCGAATCCTAAAGTATTTGGTCCCTAGGGCTCCGTGGGTAGGGCAGGCTGTTGGGTCTGGAAGTCCAGGCCTCAAGCAAGGGACCGTTCAACCGCTGCCATCAGCTGACTTTCCGCGGCTGCAAGGGGCTCAAAACCCTTTTCTTTTGGCGGCGCCGTTTGACTTTGTTTCAGAGCCAGGGCCGTGCGGAGCTCAGCTTTGCAAGTCTGCTTGCCAGTAAAGAACGGCACATCCGACGGAGTGAGGCCAACATGAACGCCGGGCAGGCCCCTGTCGGGATTCAGACTTCAACTCCGCACGGCAGTTTAGGCTCAGTGTTAGGGTCAGGGATGCAGATAGCTTTCGTTGGTGCTGCCATGGCCAAGATTGCCGGAAGGGTCACTCACATCCATGTGATATGCAAGCCTAGAGAGGTGCAGCAGTTTTCGAGTGCACCGCAAGCTGTCGGAGCGCGGAACAAGTGCGCTCCGCAGATGTCACGTTCTTCACGAAGCTCATAGGTCTCCTGTCCTGCGCATGAAGAACGACAGCAATAGTGCTTTGGTATGTGCTGCCAGCTCATGTGCAATTGCATCCTGGCTCAGTGTCGCAGGTACAGAGATCCAAATGACACAGGAAAGGCTCATGGGAATATCATGTGACCCGGGCTCTGCAGAAAGTCCACCGCAGGGTGTTGAGTGCAGAGGATTGGTGCTGCGACGTTTGGATGAGTAGGTGGCCTAACCAGGAGTGCACATGGTCCATGGTGCACAGGCGAAACCATTGATGAAAAGGCGTGCGCACATGCACATGTACAGTGTTTCGAAGCTAGGTACGACCGGCGGGTGGTTCGCGGCAACACCTATGCTGCAGTGGTCCAGCCAGAGCCGGACATGGCAGAGGCATGTCTGCCACGTAAAGTGGGCCTTTGAAGTATTTCGTAAGGCTGACCCCCTGAGATTCTTTTGTTCCGAGCACGAGCGAGCCGTAGACAGCCAGGTGCAGAAGCAGAGAGAAGCCCAGAGACGACGCCTACACCGCAAGAGGCTGAGGAGGATCGGCTTGAATTCCTCCAACATGCGATGTGCGTCTGCGCGTGTGGGCGGCAGAAGGCCGCCTTGAAGCTGTATTAAGGTTTAGGGTTCAGGGCACAGGGTCCGTGCCTGAGGTGCGAATCAGACGAAAAAGCGGCCCGGAACACCCGAAGCCGTTCCAGGCGCGGGGACGTAGAATTTGAACATGCTGGCGTGGCGACTTTTTAGACTTTTAGACCAAGCATTGAGATTGTGCTGAATTCTTGGTTCAGGTCGCAAACATATGGACATCCAGACCGATTCGCTCCTTAGCTGGCAAGAAGCACTCACTCTCTGCTTCGCGCTGCCTCCTCTGAATCGTGCTACTCAGTGCCCATCAGGGCGGCATTGTCGCAACCAAGCCGATCTCATTATCCGCCTGGTCCAGGTATCTGGAAAAGTTGACAGATCGCGTTGTCGAGTTCGAGGTTGGCTGAGTGCTCTTTGAAAATGGACTGAATGGGGAATGGGGCGGGACACATTGTGGTTTGCAGTTCGCATTTTTTTATGACCCTTGCAAGCTGGCGTTCGTGCCTGCGCAAGCGGTGCTTTCTGCTCCAAGCCAAGGCTCTGCCTCGGAGGAGACTGTAACTCGAAGCTAGGAGCGCTCGAATGCCTGACAGGCAGAGACACAGACGGACTTTATCCTTGACCGCCCACCATCTCCGCTGTTCATGCCTGCCAAGGTGGGGGGACGTGGTGAGTATGCGGGCAGCTGTGAATTTTGAGAAGCCGTCCCCCAACACTCTAATCAAAGCCCGGTGTGACCAACACTCAATGATGAAAATGTGTCGCTGAGATTGGCATCGACATCGAGACCCAGATCGAGGAGCCTCACATACCATGGCTGAGCCTTTCCCAAGTCCTCTTGGTTTTCAAGTGTGCAGCAACCTGTCTCCTTGTAGGCAAGCTTGTAACTAGTGGAGCCCACCGCCGCCTCATTCGCTTCCCGGAAGTTGATTTCTCAGGCTTGGGTAGGCTGGACGGATTTGGCAGGGCATCCCACAGCAAAAGTGTGTGCCGGCGGTAGGGTTGCGCGGTGTATCACGGCGTTTGAAAGGGTAGGTGGGCCTTCTGTGACAGTACAAATTGAGAGACGCGTCTCATGTTTGCCGGTACACATGCCGGTTCCGTTTTTCGTGGGACAGACACGCAGACGAGCAGTTGCATGGGTTCGAGACACGGGTATGTGCCAGACCTTTTCCAGGATGGAGAGCTCTTCGACTTCGATGTGGAGTGCGAGCCAGTTCTTGAGGCTCCAAAAGTGACCAGCGTCATAGCGTCCGGGAGTCGCAGCGAAGCCTTACGCCACTGTCTGAAGGTCCTAGTCGGCAAGACCCTGGAGCAGAGCATGATGGAAGTTCTGGAAGAGGAGGAGCTGGCTAGCCTGCAGAGGCTGCGAATGAGATGGGCCTACACAGAGGGTTCGGGTTGGGTCGGGCATGCTGGTTTATCAAGGACAGGATGGCCTAGCCAGCAAGTCGCAAGCCTCTGCAACTTCAAGCTGTGCGAAATGCAACGAGTGGACAGGCACCAGGAAGACTTCGAGAAGCGCCGCAACGCGGAACTCTTGGAGGCTCTTCTGCAGTCTGCGCCTGACCTAAGCAGCAAAAACCCACATGGCCAGGTGCAGCGGATGGAAGCGGCCGAGAAGCGCCGTGCAGACGAAGTCCAACGGCGTGTGGCGCAGCAGGCTGCTGGTGTGCTTCGGGTTTGGTGGGGTGCCTTGTGGTTTGTAGCTCGCAGTCGACGTTTCCCGGCTTCAACGTGAGACGTGGGATTGGCAGCCATGGTAGGAGTGTTGGTGTCAAGAATGAGCCGGCCGTTAGGAAACAAGACTGTGCAGCTAGCCAAAAGGAAGTCCACAGGGTTGGGGCTGCAGCTGCACCCGCATGTCGTAAAGGACTGCTGGATGTGTGCAGGCTGCCAGGCACGAGCAGGACATCTGCACCATGCGGAAGGCAAGGCGCTGTCGAGGGGAATGTCGTTGTCTTATCTTGTACAGCCTTCCTGCCCACCTACAAGCATGCAGACGTGTGCCCTATGTCTAGTCAGAAGTGCAGCATGCGTGGCGTTCCAACGGAGATGAGCGGAGGTCCTTGCTCGGCAGATCGCTTCAGAGCACCTGCAAGGCTGGCTGTGGAGCACCGTAGCACGAGCTCATTTCTTAGGAGAGGAGCGAGCTCGCCTTTGAAGCAGCTTGAGTTCTTCGTGTTGTTGCAACCCGCGAGCTCTGGAGGCCTCAAAGGGCGCCTGTTGCAGAACTTGGAGGATGCGGCCGCAGCCTAAAGTTGCTTTGGCAGGGGACTTCCTCAGCAGATCTTCCCCAAAGCCTATGGTCTGTAGAGACGTTCCAGGTCTCCCTGAACCTTGGTCAAGGCTGTGAGGAATCGCCAGAAGGGAAGTAGGTGGCAGTTGGTGGTGAATCCCCTCAAGCCGGTTCCTCAACAACCTGCCTCCGCCTGTGCTAGGCATTCTGACAGCAAGAACTCATTTGCTAGAGGAAAAGGGGCGACAAAAAAAACCCTCAAATCCAGTAAAAGCAGGAAGAAGGAGCCATCAACAAAAACACCCCGACACCCTGAGACTGCTCTGACTGAGGGCGTCTTCGCGGATGTGGGCAGCATGGCAGTGGAGACGAAGTTCATGCCGGGACTTCTCCAGGCCGGCGCAGTTCGAGCGAGGAGCTCCTCTGCAATGCCTGAAACAGCTGGTCGTAGCTACGAAGACCAGTAGTAACTACAGTTGCTGTAAGATGCCATAGCAGACTTCAGTTGCGATAATATACTACGTACAGTATCGTTCAGAGCCAAAGAAACTCCAAGCGTGGAGGCCGTAAGGCTAGCAGGTTCAATTCCTGAAAAGCATCCAGAGCTTGCCGCTGCCTACACTATGATCTGCGAACCCTCTCTCAACATGCCTTTCAGAGCTCTTGGCTGCCGCAATCCTACAGCTTTCATGCAGTGAGGCAGTGGTGCAGCAGATCCAGAATTCCACGCAGGAACATGCATTAGCCGCCTTTGCCTCGGCTGACCTGGACGGAATTCCATGGAATTCAGGATCGGATCCGGAATGGGTCTCACGGTTCTGAGCCGATGTTCGAGCTAGATGCCTCCACCGCTGCTGAATTCACTCGGGGAGTCCGTCATGCAGCAGTTTTCCTGCTTTCTGTGGGTTGGTAGACCAAAGCGCGCCAAGGATGCCGTCATCTCTTCGAGCGTGGATTCGAAGTCCACGCCTGGGTATGTTCTGGGAGAGTGTCGGATGTTCCTTTCTAGTCTTCAGAGCTTTATGTTCCACATATCTCGACTATGGCAGATTATGGTTCCAAAGAGGAAAGAGTGCAGAGATGACGCGACAATAAGGGGCACCGGGAAGTGCCCGTGGAGGATGTCTTCCCGTGCGCACGGTGTATCAAATCACAGGAGCCACAATCACGACTGACGGATTCTTTCTTCGACTTGCAACCTCGAGACATCCTCTGGCAACAGGGCAAGCAGAACCTACATAGAAATCGCGGCTATCACTTCAGTACCGGCCTGAAATTGGAAGGAAAGAGAGTGGATTCGATTAGAACTTCGGGCTTTTAGATGTGCCACAGGCTTCAAAAGCACAGTGCCGTCCTCGAGATCGAGCGTCGCCGCCTGGCACTCATCGACGAAGCCGAGCGCCAGGCCGTTGGGTCTTTGCATGAACGGACAGAGTCAGAGCAATCTAGCCGTCCTTTCAAGCATCACTGCGTGCGAAAGCTTTGTCCCCAAGCTGCAAACGCCAGGCGAGAGAAGAAAAGCAAGAGGTGCGGCACCGTAGGACCGGAGCACAGGCAGATGCAAGACCTGGGTAACTACTCGTAGGACTTCGCAGAGGCGCCAAGTAAGATGATGTGCTTCTCTCTCATAAGCCGCGATGCACGTGGGTCATCTGCGTCGCGGCTTCATTCCTTCGAGCAGCTACAGACAACTGCATGGAAGGCGTTGGCGAAGAAGCAGGCAGAGGCAGAGCTCATCAAGCAGCAACAGTGGGGGCCTCGGGGTCAGCGCCACGTGCATGCCACAAAGGATGCTGCTAGGCTCGACCAGGCTCAAAAGCAATTTAGGCTGAGCCCGGCAAGTCGAAACCCTAATCCTGAACCGATGTTCGCGCTCAGCTTCGGGTGTGCGAAGTTACCTCCACGTG